TATTTTGAAGGCTGTGGTTCCCCAAGAGACCCAGGTAGACACTCCTTCCACCTTCCTGCTAGTCTTTCGATGTAAATGGCACTGCTAAGCTACTAAACAGGATCAAAAAGACCATAACCCTGTGGAACTAGTCACAAGAAGCCTTTAAATTTTTCATATTCGATATGTGTTAGTCATTTGAAAAAATATAGATATCATTGACCAGTTGAAAACAATTGGATCTTCTAATTTACTGACTTCTCAGGAGTTGAAAGAATATTATAATGTGGATTTTGATCATAATAGACAAACACAACTACATGGAAAATCATGAATATACAAACACACATTTATTTGGTATTCAGTATTTTTGAAGTAAGATTCTAAAATAAATATTTAATTTCCACATGATCTGTCTGTGACCCTATAGCCCTACTGAGCAAATATATTTTGGTATTGATGAAATATAGACAATAGTACCAATATACCAACTATTATTAAAACGTCTATTAACTCATTTTGAAAAGCACGCAAAAGCATTTTTCCCTACGGACATTAAGTCAAGTATGTATTTGAGAAATGAAGAGCTGAACAAGTAAAATATTAACAAAAACCAAGATGTTTTCTCTCTACCTTTCTATTCCCCCCTCTCAATAGCAAAGTGATTATTATTATTTGGAATGCTGAAGCAGTATATCTTTACATTTAAACTGAAAAAAAACACTGAACTCAATCAACTATATTTCAGTTCATCAATGATTTTCTCAACTTCTTTTTGAGTAAAAATAAAATAATTTAAAAAGTAAAGATAATTTTATTGCAATGCCTGTTAACTTAGGCAGGCAATTTTTGTTGGAGCACATTAAAATGATACTAAGTCTAATGGCAGGATTCATTTTTACTATTTTAGTCCTACCCATGATAGAGACAATTGAGAACATTTTTCAAGGTTTTGGGCAATACACTTTAAGATATCTTAAGTATTTAGCATAATCAAGTTTAGTTGCATGATTCTCCATTAATATTATCTGTATGCCCAGGTATGTGTCCTCATAAAAATTTAGGGAGAATTCCCAGTCTGCAGACTTTATCAGCATACAAAGTTATTGCTGTGTGAAGCTCCAGAGAATCCCAGTTCATTTAACAAAAGAATATACACTCATGTTTAATAATTCTCATTATAGCAGCACGTCCTTACAATGCTATATTCAGGAAACGAAAGGACATGTCTACAATATAGATACAAACTATAATGGAAACTTATGCAATACACAGAGGAGATATGATTTTGCCTGCATCAGCACCAGGTCTATAAAATCAAGAATTCTTCAGAGTAGCATTTAACCATGCATCCTTTTCTTGTACTAAAACTCTTTTATTATAGACTTTTTCAAATTAAAATGATCAAGAATTATTGAAGAATAGTAACTGTGTTAAGTCTTCCCTTTTTTTTCTTCCCTTCCAGGGAACACAATGAGACTCAATACGACTGCCATCAATATCATACCGTAACTTGATTCATCCAATAACGTTGTCACTAACAGCCAACTTTGATGAAATAGTGTCAAGCAAAAGGACTACATGCCCCTGAAGTGTATCCTTAGCCCTGAGCTGAAGAAGTTGCTTCTGATGATCTTGACACTTCTGTTTGATGAATGAAACATTATATAAGGCTTATATTCCTATAGAATAAACCACATTGCCAGTATAGATAAGAATTGATTTGGTGAGACTGAGTCCAGTTAAAAAGATTATAAAAATTATTTTGTAATCTATATATAATTGTTATAAATCTAGGGTGTCAAAACAGATGACTGGTCTTGGAAATGTTAGGGCATCTATACATAAAATCAATGCGCCTTTCTAATGGAGCATTTATTTTCCAGGTACATGATGCCTACTCACATTTGTATAGTGGCTCATACATTTCAAAGACCTTGCAAGTTATTTTATCTTCACAAAAATTCTATGAGCTTGATAAGTCAGGACAATTGCCTCCATTTTTCAAATGATAAGAAACAATCAGAGAAGTGAAACACCTTTCCTGGAAGCTGAATTTCTTCTTTCCAATCCATTCCCCTGACCTTACATCATACTACCGGTAAAGGCCCATTTCTATAAAATGGTAAACTTGATTAGTTTGTTGGGAACAAAACTATCATAACAGTTTTTATTCCATGTAGTGTTTCTAATATAAAAACTGATTACTTCTGTATCAGAAACTGGCTCTGAACACACACACACACACACACACACACACACACACACAAAATCTAAGATTTTACTAACTAAGCAGACTAAGCAAAAATACTGGCCTAAATCAGAACAAGAACTTCCTTGACAATATTATGTAATTCTGGGCTTCTTTATTGCTATTCCATTGAAGGTAGATTGTCATAGCAATCACCCTAGAAAATTGAAATTGTATTTTCATGCTTGAGACTTGGTGTGTAAAAATGATAAAAGCACTGTTTTTGAGATTAGAGACAAAAGAGGTCAGCGTCCTGAAATTCTTTACTCCTGACACAAGACTGACTTCTGATTTTTCTATTTTAGGCTAAGCTCTAGCAAAGCCCAAGCCTTGCACTCCTAGGTAAACTTTTGTGCAATATCATAATAGTATGAGTTACTGCTGACACAGCCATCACTCTTGCTCTTTCTAGTATTTCTTCCACTCTTGCTGATGCCATTATGAAAAATAGTGCTGGCACAGCCTGAAAGTCACTTAATATCCTCTTATCTGTGGGGCTGACTTATTCTTAAAATTTTGTTTGCAAAGACGATATTAATGATATATAGAGAAGCAATTTGTTTATAGTTTCTTCTCATCAGTTTTTTGAATTTAGTATATTGGGGTACTCTACCAACTAAATAAAGCTACTACAAAGCAAAAGCAATCAGAGATCAGAATGTATTTACAATCTTTATGATCTGAACATAAAGAGACATCATAATAAGACCTGCACATCCTCACTATTGCCTAATTAATTATAATGGAGTTTATTCTTTCATTTATTAGTTTAATAAGGTGAGCCTTCTATACCACTGTACTAATACCATCATTAATTCTCATTTCTTAATTATAAAATATGGATTTATAAGAAATAAAATCTTGGATCTTACCACCCCAAGGTTTTTATACTTCCAGTTTATGGTCTGTATTTCTATAAAGAACAAAGTCCCAGGTGGGTTATTTATACTTTATGTTCATTTTCAATACATCTTATAAATATGTTCTCCAGAAGGCCTACATTTATAACTTAACTGATAAAAGTGATGAAAGAACACAAAAAATCATTCAGAGACAAATTCCAGTATAAAGACATTGAAACTTGGGATACATTGCCATGCTAACACCATCAAAAGCTGTCAGTTTTCAGCCCATGTATAATTCTGTTGATTACTTTTTAATCCAAGACGTATTTTTCATAATGATGAATAGAAGGGATTTTACGATAGAGAGCTGAATGAACTTTAAAAAAAGCTTACCTATATGAGTAGCATGTCACTTGTAATAAGGTCATTTTTTTAATATTGAAACATAATGAAATTATAAATCTGTAATAATCCACAGCATAATGAAAATTAAATGAAAATTTTAAACAAAGTTGGTTGAAAGTCATCTAAAAATCAAAAGATATTTTGGGGAGTTTGGGGAATATTTTCAATATCCTTAAACATTTCAGTTTTAAAATTTCACATTTGTTAAATGAATACTTTAAATAATTAATATTGTACGGCATTGGTGATTTTTCTTCAAAGTTCTTTAAAGGCATTTTCACTTATTTCCACTGCCATGATAAAGCAGTTTCAGTAAGATTTTTAGAATCGTGTCATATATGCAGACACATCTAGATACAGAGGGCTAAGTAAAAGGATCTCATTGTTTGAGGAAATGACCCATGTTGCTTTTACAAAATAAGGACAACACTGCATGAACATAATGAAAACATATCAGTATGATATTACTATTATCATGGTTCCTCTGTGAGATATGTAAGATCACATTTTTTTATGCAGTAGAAGGTGGCTGAGTTGATGGTAGAGAAGTTATATCATGACTTACAGACACCTTCATATTTCATCTTGGTTTAACTCTTCAAATCATATTCATAATTTTAACAGATAATTAGGTAATCACTTACTATTAATACTTTAAACATCAAAAAAGAGCAGTGCAAAATAAATACATGTTATTGCTATGCTATATCGCAGGTGAGATATGAGTTTCTAGAAGCTGACAAATGTTAGTATTTGGCAATTTTTACACAGTATCACTTAAGCTAAATTTAAAATTCAAGTTCCAAAACAGCATATGCCTTGGGTTTCATTTAATAATAACACAGTCGCTTATTGATTAATAAAAACATATAAAATGAAAACCTTATATTAAAAGACACATAAAAACCACGCCTTCCCTCCACTTTTTCTTTTAGGATGTTCTAGAAACATCACTGCTTAAGGGACAACAAACCCGACTTCAGGTTCAGACAGACAGATATGTTCTTAGAGTGCAGGTACCACATGCATAACTCTTTGTGAAGTTAATGACATCTTCCTAAGTCATTTGATCCTAGAGTATATCTACAACCATAATGTATTCTATAAATAAGCAAATGTTTTAATTTTTAGTCACAATGAAGAAATATTAAGGTCTCATTTTTGTATATATTGAAATACTGTACACACAAAATATTACTTATGAATTACTGTTACCTTCTCAATCTTAAAAGAATTTTCCTTTGTTCTCAAAGGCAACAATCTAAGATATTTCTAGAAGAAAAGCTATAGCATTTTGAAATCAATTTATAACCAACCAAACTCTATTCAGTTCTAATAAATACAGAACTTTTTTGGAATACTTCAAATTTAAGTTAAATTTAAATTTTGGTTACTTTTTCTTTATTGGACATGTGATTTTCCAGATGGCATTTTCAGTCGCCTCTAATGATAATATAAGCTCTGTAACACAAGACCAACCTTTCACTAGAAGTCCAAACAACTAAAAAAAGTGCACCTACCATGTTCCAGCCAGGGTAGAGATAGTCCGTGCCAACAAATTCAAAGTAGTGAGCAAAACCTTCCTTCAGCCACACATCTTCCCACCATACTGGAGTCACGAGGTCACCAAACCACTGCAATTGAAAAATGAATGAGCATTAGATAAAATCAAATTTTTTTATCTAAAATCAGAATGATTTTATCTAAAATTAAATGTATTAAACTATGACTATCATAACTGGAATTCATTCCCTAACAGATTTTGTGATCTTAAAATGTACTGTGGCAAGACAATTGATTTGTTCAATTGGTGACACAAATACTTGGTGACACTAGGTTTTTGTTTTTGTTTTTGTTTTTATAAATGCTTTCAGGGAAGAACAAAAATATAATGACCAAGGAATAAAAAAGGAATATTTAACCCGGAGAAGAAAGGACTCAGGAGAAAAAAACTGATTACAGCTATTTTCAAATATTTGGAGACCTGGTACACAGAAGAGGAAGAGACTTGTGTCTTGTGGCCCTACAAAGAACAAATAAGAACTAATGGATGGAAATCAGGATTGGTAGATGTCTGCTAAAAATATAGGAGACCCTCTAACAGAATGAGATGGCCAAAGATGGAAAGTACTGCCGCAAGTGGTGAGCTACTCATCACAGGGGGTATGGAAGCATTGCCTTCCAACAGCACAGACAACTCAAAGAAGACATTGGCTGACTGAAGGAACTAAGGGCTTCCATGATGCTCCACACCTGACTCTCCATGATCTTGTGATAATAAGGGGCTGGACCAAAAAAAATCTCTAAAATTCTTTCATGAAAAATAATGTCATTTTTTTTCTTTTTTGAGAGAGAGATAGAGAGAGAAAGCTAGTTGGGGGGGAGCAGAGGGACAGGGAGAGAGCGAATCTTAAGCAGTCTCCACACCCAGCACGGAGCTGGACACGGGGCTCGATCTCAAGACTCTGAGATCATGACCTAAGCTGAAATCAAGAGTTTGATGCTTAACCGACCAAGCCACCAAGGTGTCCCAATAATGTTGTCATTGTTAATCGGTGTTTTAATTAGATCATGATGCCCCACTCTGACATCCTTGCTTAGTTTGGCAAAAAGTTAAAGAAATTCTTTTTTTCATTAAAAATAAAAACAAAAACATTATATGCCTAGAGTGATCATAAAGACTTTGGGTGTGATGATGAAAAGTCAGGAAATGTCCCTTCTTGTGCAGCTGACACTTAATTGTGTAGGCAAGGGCAATGAGGTGAGATACAAAATAAAAAATACAAAAGCAAATGAACAACACAATTCCAGATCCAATAAAATGTGATAGGAATGGGGAAAGAGCCACTTTAGATTGTCAAAAGCAAAAATGCTCTCTCTAAGCAGGTGACATTTGAGCTCAGACTTTAACGATAAGAAGGAGCCAGCCATGAGAAAACTTTGGGAAGAAGATTCCAAGCAGATGTAAGCAACACTTAGTGTAAAGACCTTAAGTGGGAATGAGATATTTAAGAAACAGAAGGCGGACACTATCAGATCAGGTATAGCTTTAGGAGCTCCAGTAAAGAGCTTAGTGACTGAGCGTTTCAATATTAATAATAAAGTATCAGTTACTCAAGAGGGTCTCTAGCTGAAATACGAATAAGAGATAATTCTACGTTGATGACCATAAAATAAATGATATTTAAAATCATTTTTATTCTTAATCAAAAATGCATGTTTCTCCTTTAAATTGAAAGCCTGTCTTAAAAATCATGACAATGCCTAGGTGGGAGAGAGGGTAATATGGAAAATAATTAGGTAATGAGAGTGGAAATTCTGTTTCTCCCAGCTTCTGGACCCTTTTCTCATGGTTAGTAGCCTGCACTGCCAAGTTCTAACAAGAAAGTAACATATAATATGGAACAAATGAAATCCAGTTCTAGGAACAAAGATAACATCATCAGTGTGCTCTTATCTCAACAGAACTATACAAGTAACCTGTTTCTAGGAATCTGCAAAAAGGAAACTGCTTATGCCTCAAAGAATTATTATGTTTCACTGGAAAGCATCCTCTTTAGCACAGTGGAGGAACCCTGATTATCTGTGCAATGGATCCCCTTACGTCTGAGGCAAGAGACACATGCCTGACCTGGCAAGCATGACAGGTACAAACTTCGTGCAGGTTTACTTGCAGAAGGTTGGCATTGAGGGAAATGGCCATATGGCCTGAACCAATTTATCATTATGTCAGTTTTCATGTATTAGCATTTAGCACCTCACTTTCTTTCGCTGACAGCATTTTCCACATAGTCCCTTTGGAGTTTTTCTAGCGTTTTAAAAAGGTTTTCGGTTTGGGCACATTCTGCGTGGAGCACTGGGTGTTATGCACAAACAATGAATCATGGAACACTACATCAAAAACTAATGATGTAATGTATGGTGGTTAACATAACAATAAAAAATTATTTAAAAAAAAAAGGTTTTGGGTTTATAACAAATAGAAGCCATACAGTATCACAATGGGATTTCCAGTGGTTTAACTTAAAGCTATCCATACTCACCAGGACAGGTATTGCTTTCCATTTGCATGAACATTTATTTTCAGTTTTGTCTTTTTTTTTTAACTAGAATCAAGATTCAAATAAGCATTGCAAAATCTCTATAATACCTTCCACTCATTGTAAGAAAGTGCATAAAATCAAAATGAAATTAATTTTATCTCTGCTTCACTACAAAGTTGGCTAATTTACATATGAATTTCTAAACATGCCAAGACAAAAAAAATATCAATCACTGGAGAACAAAGAGTCTATGGCTGAGTTAGTGAAAGACTTCCTAAGTGTCTCTGTGATGGGAAAAAGGGAATAACAAATTGATTTCAGCCAAAGCAAATTTTGACACGTACACAAAACTCAGCTGCATCTTGCAGCAGTGCAATAAATCACCGCCATCACTGCACTTACCATATACACACCAATAATCACAAGGAAATAAAGCAAGGTTGACAAGGACTCGTGACTGGATAGGGTCTCCGAAGAGGCTGCAGTGCCATTTCACTCCTCAACTAAACTGAATGACAGTTGTTTATTCAATACCATCAGTGGGTTTGCTTTTGTTTGTGCTGTCATCTGAGAAAAATGACATATCATCCAAAAAGAACTACCCAGTACTCTCTATATAATTAAAACTTAATTGGGAGGAAAATAATTTAGCTCCTAATCTAAGTATCTGAAATCATTCTGCATTCTCAACAGTTTGCAATTATACTTACACCCAATCCTTTTTCTCATACCTGGTGACATATCTCATGAACAATGACCATGGTGACATCCAGTAAATAAGAAATAGATGAAACACTGGGATCCAGCAGTATTCTTTGCTCCACAAAAATACTTAGTCCCCAGTTCTCCATAGCAGCGTACGGGTGCTTAGGCACAGCTAAAAGATCTAGAAACAGGATAAAACAATTCCATAGGCTTTAACAAACATACCGGATTCTAAATGCATACCCTAAAAAAGTCCAGAAACCCTAATGAAAAGGAGTATTTGCTCTTTCTCAGTAATTTTTTTTTCTAAGTTAAACTACCTGCCATTTCTACATGACAGCAGAAATATAGGCTATCACTGTACACGCTGGCCATATGCATTCATCACTGTTCATTTTCAGACCCGGTGCTAGAGGAGGCTGGAAGTATCGGCACCATTATTGATGGGCCCACCCTAATAAGTTTCAGGAAGTCAAGGAAACCAAATGCAGCAGAAATCTAGAGAGTCAAAAGGCATGGTGCCTTCTAATGAAAACATAGTCAGCTCAAGGCAGTGAATACTGTACTCCTCCTTTTACCTCAAATGTTTTCAAGAGAAAACATCTTCTATATCAGTTTAAAAGTATGACGTGTCGTTTTTCTAACTGCATAGAGTCTCCTGTATTTTTTGAGTTCTGTTAAAAATAAAATATTGCATGCAAATATAATTTAGAGACAAAACTGTAATAGTGGAAACTGGCAAAAGGACTACTGAGGGAGCCCGCAGGCTTTGGTTCTGGTCCTGCCCTCCACCATTAACTAGATATATGACCTCGGTAAATCACTTAATTTCTCGAGACCACAATTCCCTCACCTATAAAATAAGGTTATTGGCCTTCATTATCTCTAAAATCCCTTCCAGCTCCAAAAATCTATGATTAGATGATACTAAGATGTGTGCTTATTTTAAAAGGCTCTGGAGGTATTATCAACTTCTGGTTAAGGTGACACAATAAGTTCATGCTTTGATGTACTCCCTCGGCTGCAAACACGTAACAGTGATAAATAAAATATTAAAAGGGAAAACTAAAAAATATCTCCAGGCTTGAAAATAAACCTCTTCATGGATCAGAAATGGTACAGAAATGCAAAGCAGCGATTGCAAGTGAAGCCACAGTCCTGCTGCGTTCTGGCTCCAGGGGCAAGCAGTGGCTGCTGGGGACTGGCTCCAGCAGGATCCACCGGAGCCAAAGGGACCTAAGCCAAGCTGACTGCATGAGGCCAGGGGTTGAGGTAGTGCATGCGTGTTCACAAGGGCTGTAAATAGCTGCGGCTCGTTGCTTCTTGGGAAAGCCAGGAAGTGGCAGAGTTAGGATTCGAACCCAGGCAGCCTGATTCCAGTGCCTTGCTCTTAAGCACAACGACGTAATGTTTTCAGTCTCTGACCCAAAAGTTCCATTTCCCAATAACCCCAGAGTAACCACCTAGGATGCCAAGAAAAAAATGCTATGAGAATGTTTGCTATAGTATTGTTTTTAAGAGTGAAAGGGGAGGGGCACCTGCATCAGTCTTTTGGTTAAGGCTAAGCGGCTGCCTTCAGCTCAGGTTATGATCCCGGGGTCCTGGGATGGAGCCCCACATCAGGCTCCCTGATCAGTGGGGAGTCTGCTTCTCCCTCTCCCTCTGCCCCCTGCTGTCCCGCTCATGCTCACTCTTTCAAATAAATAAAATTTAAAAAAAAAAAAAAGTGAAAAGAGAAAACCAAATGCTTTTCACCAAGATAGTGGGCAAAGAAACCATAAAATAGTTAAAATAAAGGAATACTACACAACAATTGAAATACACGATCTTACCCCTAGATTCTTATACTATATAAATCAATATGGATAATCTGAAAAACATAATGTTGAGGGAACAAGAAAGGTGTAAAATGACCCCTACCATATACTACTTAAAATAAGCAGAATAATACCATATGTTATAAATGGATACTCACACATGCACACACATACCCAGACAGATAGTAGTGGTAAAATGCACATGCAATCACACACGTATAGGAATGATGAACACCAAATTCAGAATCATGGTTGCTTCAGTTCAGAATGGGCAGAAAGGGGATGAGGGACAGTCTTTTAGGTTCGTCGACCCCATTTCAGCATGGGGTTGGGGAGGATTTCCACACCACCAAGCAATTCTTGGACACTGGAGAATATGAGAATTCAACTCAGTTCTGCCACTATCTACCTGGAAACAGCATCAGATTCCACAGTTAAGGGTTCAGTCCTACAAGACCGTCCTGTACCCCACTTAAGATGCCAGTAACAAGCCCGGGGTTGTTATCTGTACTTCTGACTGACTGGCTATAAATCAGAGGTTCCCATGATCTCCTCCTTAGGTTTGATTAATTTGCTAGAGAGGTACACAGAACTCAGAGAAACATTTTTACTTACTAGATTACCAGTTTATTACAAAGGATGTAACTCAGGAACAACCTGATGGAAGTGAGGTATTGGGCAAGATACTGACAAAGGGTGTGAAGCTTCCATGCCCTCTTAGAGTGCACCATTCTCCCCAAATCTCTGTGTTCGCTACCAGCGAGGCTCTCTGAACTCCATCCCTTGGGGTTTTTACAGACTTTGTTACATAGACATAATTGATTTAATCATTGGCCATTGACAATGGACCTCAATCTCCAGCCCTTTTCCCCTCCCAGGAGGAGGAGGCCAGAGGGTAGGACTGAAAATTCCAACTCACTAATCATATGACTGGCTCCACAGAGATCAGATCTGCCCCTACCCTTAGGTGTGTTCCCAGTCACTTCACATCTATGGCCATACCACCCTGAACGCCCGATCTTGTCAAAAGTCACTTCATTAACATAACAAAGACACTAACATTAACTAATATTAACGTAACACAGACTCTCAAACCCTTAGGAAATTCCAAGGGTTTTGGAAGCTCTAAGCCAAAAACCCATGTGGAACACCAGATATATTTAAGAAATATATATCAAATATATATGAAAAATACATATTTGGTCATTCAGATGACCAAATAGATATTTCTTATAAATCACAGTACTGCAGATGGTCACAAAAGGGATTTCAAATCTGTCTTTAATACTAATTTTTTTAGGGCGCCTGGGTGGCTCAGATGGTTAAGCGTCTGCCTTCGGCTCAGGTCATGATCCCAGGGTCCTGGGATCGAGTCCCGCATCAGGCTCCCTGCTCCTTGGGAGCCTGCTTCTCCCTCTGCCTCTCTCTCTCTCTCTTTCTGTCTCTCATGAATAAATAAATAAAATCTTTAAAAAAAAAAATACTAATTTTTTTAAAGCAGGTGATGGGTACATGGATATTATGTATAATATTGTTTCTTTTCTGTATGCTTTATATATTTCATAATAAGAAAAAGAATAAAATGGTCAGCAGTCTTATAATATGGTTGACTGTCATGTATTCATCATTTCAACGAACATCTTCTCATCACTTCCTGTGTCCTTTAGTCTGAGATGTATAATAAAATAAATTGATATGATTCCTATATCCACTACATTTTAACCTAAAAATGTGGACATGAGAGCATAATACAAGAAATAAAGAATAAAAAGTGCTGTGAAAGAGAAAGAAAACGTCTGGCTGGAGAAGTTCTTGAAAGAGTTCTTATTTGAGCTGGACATCAAAAGCAAATAGGATTTCAACAGGCAGTCAGAGGTACTATCTGCATTCATTGACACAAGCATTTATTTAACATCTCCTTTGCTCAATATAGGAATTATCCTGTCCTTCGAGCTCTCCTTGCCCCCTGCTCTAATGGCACTTATATTCATATGTGGGTGTGTGCAGGAGGAGGAGGTCAATCAGCAAATAGTAAATGAATGAAAGAAATTCAGTGAACAATAAGTTCTACAAAGAAAATACAACAGAGTAAGACAGTGATTGACGGATGGGGTTGGTGCAGTGTGGTCCAGGCAGGCCTGCTAAAGCAATCACATTTCACCTGAGGTGTAAATAATGTTTGAGGCCAGCTATCCAAAGACTTGTCGAAGTGTGTTCTAAGAAGGGACAACAAATGCAAAGGTCCTAAGGAAGAAATGAGAAGGGAAATGAGGTGAGTATATTGGACAAACAGAAAGAAGGTCAGTGTGGCTGAAGGATATAAAGGAGAACAAACTGCAAATACGTCACAAGAAGACATTCTTCTACTTAAGATTTTAATTTGAGACCTTCCCTAAATATGACCAAACTAGGCAACAGACCCTCTCTGTGCCAACTCTGCCTGCCACCATCAGATGGCAACAGCAGTAACCCATCTGGGATCATGTACTTGAAGGGACACGTGAACTTAGTAACAATCCTTTGGAACCAAGCCTATTGAAAACAGAGGCACTTCTGTATGCTGGAGTTCTCCAAGAGTTGAGAGTAGTCAGGTCCCCAAAAGTAAGTGAGCAGAGCAGGCCACACACTGGAATTTGGATTGGCTCAACTGGCAAAAGACAGAAGATTCCTGACTTGAGCCAGATGGAGAATCTAGGAATTTGTAATAAATGGGAAGGTACACTTAGGGGGCAGTCATCAGACAGCAAAAGCCTAACTAGCAGCATGAGCGGTACAGTGAGGGGTCAGTTAAAGTTTGGTGCCAAAGAAACCACTAATGGTGACCCAAACAGAGAGCTGGTTACCTCCTGGTTTCCAGACTTCCGAGAGCACAGAAGTCAGGCCTGGGTAATAAGGCTAAACATCCACCACACAAGAACTCTTGAGCGAATGGAGCTAGACTCAGGAAAAAGTGATGGAGAACAGAGTAAAGCACAAAAGCATCAGTAATAGGAGACAGCTTCTCAGACACAGAAAGGTTTTACAGTAGATATAGGGAACCATGTCTATGGATAGCAGAAGGGGGAAAAAGTGGAACTAAAAAAATTAGATTATGCTACTATCCACATAATAACCTTGTAACAAAATACCAAAGAAACTTGGATTTTGTTCTAACAACTACTGAGAGATATTTTAACTAGGCTTCTCTGCTCTATGCCTTTATAACTTAAAGACTCTTAATATTTTTATATTTGTATAGTTTTATACTTTAAGAATACTTTTGGGGCACCTGCATGGCTCAGTTGGTTGAGTGTCTGACTCATGATTTTGGCTCAGGTCATGATCTCATGGGTCGTGGGATCGAGCCCCGAGTCACACAAGTAGT